TGGCTGATTTGATAGTTAATGACTAAAATTTTGATTAAAATCTTGATTAAAATTTCTTCCAAACAGGGCCTATATAAAAAAGAGGAACAGAGAAATGCGAAGCATGAGAAACCCCTAAAAAGCAGTACAAACGTTAGAGAAAATAATAGAAATTTTATTCATTGGTTTACATGCGTGATGTTGCACAACAAGTCAAGATTGGTACTTTTGTCCCTTCATAAACAGTAATTGAGAATTTGAGATGTATTGCATCTACGTTGTATGCCAACTGGAACGAGCATGTCAAACCAAGCTAAAAATATCCACTTAGAAGTACATAAGTAAATTTTCAATTTATTAGTTAAAGTTAAAAATAATTTACTTATTCCATAGTAGCTAAGGAGCTGTTCTCTTTGTTTTTGAATTTTGTGTTTTGAGTTTTGAATTCATTTTGAGTTTTGTATTTTTAGTATCCATTTTGAGATTGTTGAAATGTGTTCTTTTGACATTTTGAAAACACACAAAACGTATTTTGAAAATTTTGACTTGATTATAATTGAAAACATCTAAAATGACAAATTTGTCGTTTTGGATTTTTTTTGTAAATTTTTAACTTGTTTTCAAAAATGCGTTTTCTAGGAAAGAGAATGCGTTTTAATTGTTTTGAAAAATTGAAAATAGAAAACGGTTTGAAAATGGTAAAAAGAATAAGCCCTCAGAGTTCCTTTGAAAAGGCAAGTTATCAAACATATTTGAAGAAAAAAGTTACTTAATTTTTTTACCTTAGCCAAACACGCTCTAAGCTCAAAAAATTGAAGTACATTTCATAAAAGTAAGCTCCAAGACTAAAAATTAAAGAAAATCGCTCGTAGAAAGTTCAATTATGTTTGAATTTTTTTTTTTTACATAAATTTCGCCCTTGATTTTGATTTTTTCCCAAATCATTTTTCTTCAAACTCATTTTTAATCACATTTTTCTCGTAAAATAAAGTTTTCCGTATGTGGGCCAATAACTTTCACTATTTTTTAACAATGCAATATTTCAAGAAATCACCCATTAGAAAACGAAAATCAAACAAGGAATGTAGGTCTATGAACTTCATTTTATCACAAAATAGTAATTGAATATGTTTTTTGTTATAATTGAGTCATTGCACTTGAATGTTCGTTAAAATTTAATAATTTCATCCATGTCCATTTAAATAACAAAAAGATATACATACAACTTCGACCACCATTTTTAAAACCAAACTAATGAAGTTGAATAGAGGGATTGGATTGTAATAAATCTTTAAGTTTGGTAACAAATTCGACCACCATTTTTAAAACCAAACTAATGAACTTGAATAGAGGGACCGGATTGTAATAAATCTTTAAGTTTGGTAACAACTTCGACCACCATTTTTAAAATCAAACTAATGAACTTGAATAGAGGGATCGGATTGTAATAAATCTTTAAGTTTGGTATCAACTTCGACCACCATTTTTAAAACCAAACTAATGAACTTGAATAGAGGGATCGGATTGTAATAAATCTTTAAGTTTGGTAACAAAGTCGACCACCATTTTTAAAATCAAACTAATGAACTTGAATAGAGGGATCGGATTGTAATAAATCTTTAAGTTTGGTATCAACTTCGACCACCATTTTTAAAATCAAACTAATGAACTTGAATAGAGGGATCGGATTGTAATAAATCTTTAAGTTTGGTATCAACTTCGACCACCATTTTTAAAACCAAACTAATGAACTTGAATAGAGGGATCGGATTGTAATAAATCTTTAAGTTTGGTAACAAAGTCGACCACCATTTTTAAAATCAAACTAATGAACTTGAATAGAGGGATCGGATTGTAATAAATCTTTAAGTTTGGTATCAACTTCGACCACCATTTTTAAAATCAAACTAATGAACTTGAATAGAGGGATCGAATTGTCATAAATCTTCAAGTTTGGTAACAAATTCGAGCACAATAAAGTTTAACAATCAAAATAAAAATTCTGCTTGAAGCTTAAATTTTTAGGACCACTCACAGAGATGGCGCGTAGTCCACAAATTTTACCAAAATAAGTAAATATACTGATAGACTGTCCTGATGAATGCATTGAAGCCTTGAACCAACAAAAATCTTACATAAGAGGCCGACGCCTCTTCTGTCTCCCTCACCCCACCCCACTCCACCCCACCCCTACCCTTCTCTCAAACCTGTGCATATATATATGTATCTACAACCATTTAAGCCTCCAATTTCACATTTTTACCTCATTGCTCCTCCTTTTACTCCATTTTTTTCAGGGATTTTCAGTAGAAGTTAGACAGTGTTTTTCTGCACCCCTCCTCCCCTTCTATTTATTGATCTTCTTCAGTCTTCTTCTCTACAGAAAATTTTCAGATTCTTCTTTTTTACACATATATTAGTCATGTCTAGTTTGTATCCCCAAAATTTAAACTTCTCTCCTGCAAGAAGTTTTCCTCCTCCACATATAAGGAGCAATACAGATGTCGAAAGGTACAGTCCATTGTGTTTTGAGTTAAGATTCTGTTTTTTTGTTGAAAAATCTGAAAATCCTGTTCTGTTGTGTAATTTTGATTCTTTAATGGTGTTTTCAATTTCTTCAGTCAGCACTTGACAGAGCTGCTGGCAGAGAGGCAAAAGCTACAGCCATTCATGCAAGTACTTCCTATATGCAGCAGGCTCTTGGATCAAGGTTTGCCCCTATGATCAAATTTTGGATCTGGTTTCAGTATTTTAGGCATTTCAATTTTGCTATTTGTCATGATTTTCTTCTGGTTTTAGTGTTTAGATGGTTAAGCATATCATGAGTTAAATGGATATGAATTTATATAGAACAGAAAATTAACTTATAAGTGAGCTTTTTTTTAAATATTTTTTGCTTCTTGAAATAGTTTGGGATAGTTGAATTTGATTTTTAGGATTGAATCTGCATCTCTAAGATTACTGGGATTAATTCTTTTTAAACAGTTGCATTGTGCTTCTGTGATGAATTTCCAATTACCATTTCAACATACATTTAGCATCTATAGCCAGCTAAGGAAGTTTTAGTGATTTGATTAGCAATAATAGAATTATGTTACTTGCTTTCAATGGCGTGGAACGTACTATGGATAGTTGGTGGAAATTTTTATTCACATACATTTCGTGTCTAAAGCACGAGATTACCATTTTCAAGACTATTCTTTTATTTTACATTAAGAATACGACAAAAATATGTTGGTCAAGGGAGTTTATTACGTGCGTCACGAGAGTTGCATTTTTCGATAAAGATTCTTCACGAGATAGAGCACAATTCATAAGCCATTTTGTTCTTATTTGACAGCTAGCCGTTACGTCAAAAGGTTTTAATGATATTTACTAATAATAGAATTACTTGATTTTATGGCATCGAACGTAACGCTGAAAGTTTGTGGGAATTTTTTTCTCATACATTACATGTCTAAAGCAAGAGAGTGCCTTCTAATTGATTCTTTTTGTTATGCGTTAAGAGTACATGTAAAAGAGCAATTACGATAGTTAAAGATTAAGTTCTAAAGATTAATCTAATTCAACATTCCTACTCATTTTTATAGATAAATGAATAATTTGCTTGTGGATGATTCTATTTTTAATCAGTAAAACTTTTTCTATTTGGAGACTGATAGTGAATGTGGAAGAATTGTCCTTAGAAAATCCTTCACATCTAATCCCGTGTATTACAGTTTACTAACAATCTTAATTGTTACTATGATAACAGAAATATTACGAGTTTCTGGAAAAATCTCTAGCCAAGCTTTTAATGACTATGATAGACTACAGCGTGGTAGTCCTAGTCCAGTGGCTTCTTTGAACATGATGCCGGATGTTGGAGTGGGTTTAGGTAGCTGGAATGGAAATGGTTGGATTGGCATTCAGCCTGAGGTGAGCTGAAATTTAATAGCCAACATAATGTACTATTGTTTTATATCATCTTTAGGCAATATCACATTTTTCTCACTATGTTCTTTACAACTGATATTTTTCTTTTTATTTGCTTGGTTGTGTCTGATTTGATGCGTATGAGCCAAGTTTATCCATGTTGATCCTTGAACTTGAGAAAGTCCCGGCAGAAAAAAGTGTATATAGGAGTGTTTGAACATACTCGGTCAAAGTTTGAAATAAGTGATTACTTATTTTGACTGTAAGGTAAGGATTACTTTTAAAATAAATAAATTTTTTTACTTAAAACTAAGTAAAAGTATCATTTCCAAACATACTTGGAAAGTGACAGAATGAGTTATAGTAACAATATCATTAGACGTGTTGCCCAACATCGGCTGGAGAATTTTCTTTGCAAATATTGAAGTGTGAATGAAACAGCTGTATGAAACTTGTACTTTATCCTCCATAATGTATTTTTTTTACGGAATTCTGTTGCATGACAATAATGCCTGGAAATGAGTCCACCTTGAGTCGAGAAAACTGCAAGACCATTTAGAAGAGCATTACTTCCAGCAATCAAATATGCACAATATCCATTAATCAGAGGTTGCTTCTAAAGTTCACTCAATTAATATGCCCTACTGGGTCATAGTTTCAAGGTTAAGACACATCTTTATGCCAACCTATAATAAAATAATTTTGTACAACAGAAATTGGGTGGACCACAGGGTATGAACATAGACTGGCAATCGGCACGGGGAAGTCCCAGTTCATTCGTAGTGAAGCGAGTAATGCGCTTGGATATACCTGTTGATAGATATCCAAATGTAAGTCATTTGAAGCTCTTAAATTTAATTTAATTACACAGAAGCACAATCTTTGAATTTGAATCACTACTCATTTTTCTAAATTAGTTATTAGAACCAAGACTAATAACATTCTCTTTGGACGACAGTTCAATTTCGTGGGGAGACTTTTAGGTCCTCGAGGCAATTCCCTTAAGCGAGTTGAAGCTTCTACTGGCTGCCGTGTGTTTATCAGAGGAAAGGGTTCCATAAAAGATACTGGCAGGGTAAAGTAATTTTCTTTTGATTTTTAATCAAATTATTTACGTAAACGATGTCCTAAATTTTTGTCATTGGGAATGTGCTTGCCCTTGTGAATATCATTTATTCATTATTTATGGTTTCGATTTAAGGAAGCAAGCCTGAGGGGAAGACCAGGCTATGAACATTTAAATGAGCAGCTGCACATATTGATAGAGGCAGAATTACCTGCCAATGTTGTGGACTTGAGGCTGAAGCAAGCGAAAGAGATTATTGAGGAGCTGCTTCAACCTGTGGTATTTATTAGATCATTGTTATTTATTTGTTGAGATCTAGAAATAGAAATAAAATAAAAAAAAAATGAATTTTGGACTCATGGAATCGAGTGCATGATGAATACCTATACGAGAGTGATAAGTAATAGGGAATGCTTTAAAAGGGTAAAACTACTTCTTCATTTATGACATTTTTAGTACGAAGTATTAGATAGACTAACAATATTACATTCATGTCACTTTTTATTCACATATTTCGAGAGATCCACGAGTACTACACATTTATCCACCACTCATTTTTAACTATTTATTATTTAAACCATTTATAAACACTTCCCAAACGTGATTTTAAAAAAACTCAAATCTTGTTCATTACTAGCTACAAAAAGAATTTATAATCCTCTGTTTGTGCCTTCATATTATCGACTCCTCTTTCACAAGCTGCAAAGTCTTAGTTGTATTTTGCATCGTGAATTGGAGGTTCTCTCATAGTTATCTTCTAGATCATAGAATGCCATCAACTCAATCATAGGTTAGATCATTAAGGAAACCATAGTTTCATCAGGAATTAATTATAAGCCTGTTGGATAAACATGTTTCAAATTGAAGCAATGTCAATATAATGGCGAGTAAGAATCATCAGATGTTAATGCGAAGGTACGTCTATATAACTTTCTTCTTTTGGCCTCAATTACAGGATGATGCAGAAGACATGTACAAGAGACATCAACTTAGAGAACTAGCCATGCTGAATAATTTCAGAGAAGAGAGCCCACATCCAAGTGGTAGTGTATCTCCCTTTTCGTCCAGTGGAATAAAACGTCCCAAAACTGGTTGGTAATCACTATATCATAATAGGTAGTCTCTTCAGAGGCTTCTCGAGAACTTCTGTGGTGCTTTAGCACCGTATGGTCGTCCAAGATTAATATCAAACTCTAGCCGGTTCTCTGAGGTTGGTTACCTGGGCTGTGAAACTGTGAACAAATGATTAAGAGAGAACTTTTCTGTTCGTTTATGTTTTTTTAGCTGCTTAGATTAGAAGGGGGATTGGATTTATTTGTTATTTAGCTATGTTTGCCTGTAAACAGATGTAGAATGTGTTTGCTTTTGATCCTTTGATTAGTTAGTTTACTTGTGTTTTCATTATTTTCTGTGCAAATTTTGATATTGTTGGGCAAAAGTGATCGAGCTACAAACACGATTAGGTAGCAGACACCTTCGGGGACAGGAGGCTTGGAGTAGCCCTTTTTGTCAATCATCGCGGGTTATTACTCCAGTTAAACTTTAAAACAAAATAGTTGTTTAATATGACAAAGGAATAAAACACATAATCATCCTTTTCGATCAATTTCAATTCAAACACGACTTTCGTACCTGTAACATTAGGTAACTACAAATAAAACGTTGTCAGCAAAAGCTTTTCACGCGTGCCCACTTATGCAATGAAGCATGCCTCATCGTTATTTCAAGATTAACAGTTTGTTTTGCAAAGATTTTTTTGAAGGAAAGATAATTTTTTTGGAGAATGTACAGTTAAAGTGGGGATTGGACGGTTTGGAGAAGGAAGATATATATATATATATTTTTTATTTATTTATTTATTTTTTTTTTTCGAAGTTGGGTGCATTATTATAGTTTATGTCATGTGCAAAGCATGCGTCCTCGGAAGGATTGGACACTGGTGTATGCCTTTCCAGCAGAAGGTGATGCCGGGTCTCAAGATTAGTCACAAGATCTCAGAGAATTTGATCAGCGCTACCCTTCTCCTCAGTCATCTCGTTGGAACCTACTCGTGAATTCAACCTTATATATTGTTACAAGCCAGAAGCATACAGGCTGGTGATTGATGGTACATGCTTGATATTGATTAAGAGAATATACTTCTCTTTACAATTTTCCAAATCTCTTCTCTTACTTGAAAGTGGGCAAGAAAATTGGAGCGTCGGAAACTGAAGCAGAAGAACTAGTGAATATTATGTAATTTGATCGCAACTCAGTGCCTGGCCTATTGTAGTTATGAATCACTGATGGTGCGTTTGATTTGTTGTTTTCAATTTTCTGAAACTCCAAAAACTTATGGATATAGCTACTTTGTCAGAAGAATTTGACAGAAAGCATGACACAATTGCATGTGGCGGTAGGTGATTGGATGGAAAAGTTGAATGTATTTTAAATTGTCCAATAATAGAATGTTACGTGACATTATGTCAAGTTTTATGTCAACATTGATGTTCATGTAATACGATTGAAATCTTATTTGGTTTGTTATTTTTGAAAATAAGGTTAAACTTGTAATATAAAATTCAAAACATACTTTTGACGTCTTAAAACATTAAAAGCTCTTACATTTAAAAGAAAGTGTAAAAAAATAAAACTTCTAAAAATATAAAATTAAATTCTAAAAAAAAAATTCTTATTTCCAATTTTTTTGAACTCAATTTATTATTTGTTTATATTTTACTTTTGTAGTGGGAAAATATTTTAAGATTCGTCAACTTTAAAATATTATATTGCTTGATAATATATTAACATAAAATTGTTCTATTTTATTGAATAATCAAATTTCGTGGAATAAAAAACAATTCTCAAAATTTCAAATCAAGCGTGTTGCTTAATTTTCTGTTTTCAAAAACAGTTTTTCAGAATGACAAACCAATTATCGTTCTCTTTATGTTTCAGTTTTGTGTTTTGAGTTTTGAATTCATTTTGTGTTTTGTGTTTTGAGTGTCTGTTTTGAAATTTCTGAAAATGCGTTCTTTTTGCCATTCTGAAAAACTGTTTTTGAAAACATAAAAATGGAAAACGCGTTTACTTTGAAATTTTGAGAATTTTTTTTAATAATATTTTATTCAAGAAATCTGATTATTCGATAAGTTTTAATAGTTTAATGTTAATATAGTATTAAATAACATATAAATTTTTAAGTTGGTGAATCTTGAAATAATTTTTTCCAAATATAAAAAACATAACCTATATTAAATTTGACAAATCCTTATTTTTGTTCTTGTACATAACTTGTGACAATAATTAAGTAGCATCAAGTCACAATCAAACATAATCAAGTTGCAAAAAATGGGATCACTAATCTCATATTGACATGTTAATAAATATTTTGAAATCAATTTTATCGAGTTCATGTTATTATAAACAATTATTAGTATAAGCAAGTCGATTCAGCCTGACATGAGTTATCAATTATTATAACCAACAAGTCCTTTCTCCTTGCCAGAAAATTGTCACTGAGGGAGGGTAAAGACATTTATGCAAAAGGAGGTCAAAAAATTTATTTAAGGTACATGTTAAAGTGATATTATGAACAACATAAATGCACATAATCACTTGCACAGTAGTTCGTTCCAGTTTTTCTTCCAAATCAATTCCAAGCAAAAGAAGCAAATTACATCATCTGGTAAGGATTCCGACAAAAATAGATGGTTCTCCAAAGAAGAACCAAACATTGTTGACAAAACCCAATACAACGATGTAAACATGTGTTTGTTCCTTCTTTCTTTTTTCCACAGAAGTAAAAGAAAAATTATGGTACATACACAAAAAGCCAAATAGAACAATTCTTGTCCATTCTCATCAGCACAAGTGGTACAAACTATATATATCACATTAGCATTACAAAGAATTCATTCATAGCGCACACTAAAATTGACGAACCACAACTCACAAGATTCCAAAACTATTCCAAAGTATCACCACTACAACAGCCTTAGCAAGCATTGTTTTCCCTGTGCCAGGAGGACCATACAGCAAGACACCACGAGGAGGATCTATGCCAATATTTTGGACTTGCTTGCCATGACCTCGTGAAGTTCAGCAATATTTGGGTGCTTCACCATCTTCATCACCGAGATTTCATGCTTCACTTGCTCCATCATCCCTACACGAATCACTTTCTCCATCATCCACTACAGTCGCCACGGGAGAGAGATCGTGCAGCTAGTTCTTCCCAGCAGATGGAGAATTTCTCATCTCCTCAATCTCATCATTGAATGGACTCTGTGTTTTAGTCAACCACTTGAAAGACCCTTCTATTACCAGGCCCTCAAGTATGTTTCGTGTTTTGCTCACCATAGCCATTTCCCACTATCCCCTTTTCAAGAACTTCTGTGGCTCTCTTTTTTCCATTTCTTTCAATAACTCTACATACAAGTTAATGACCTGCAAAGCAAGAAGAGTGAAACCAGGGCAGACAAAAGTCATCATATGGAAAGATTATCACTCCTATAGGACTGAAGTCACAAAAATGTCCAAACTCTCATAGGACTGAAGTAACATTTAATATACTTTTAGGCAGTGATATATGCATGTAAATTAAGAGGTGTGTTAGATATGCTTAGCTTATTAATCCACAAATTCCATACATGAAATTAACTGAAATGGATGCTAACATATTAGAGGACAAATAATCATCAACTAGCTTTTGCAAGATCTTAAGAGAATAGATCTCTCCAGGTGATAACATCTCTCAACAAGCAAATTAGATCCAATGACTTCCTTCCGTCTCCACTCCCTCATAAATAGATCCAAAACTCAGTGCACTAATCAAATTAGCTTCAGAGTATCCACCTTTGGCTTTTCAATATAGAAGAAAAATTAACCCAGCACTAAATGTATATTCCAGAAAGTCTCGCCCCAATCCCCATTGCATCTTGCCTTTCTGCTGAAAGGCAACCACGTACTATAATGAATCCCTGAATTTCCTATTGCTCTTCCACTACAAACATCTTATGAAGATTAGGATAATCACGAAATTTTGATCACCAATTATGAACAGAAAATAAATATATCATAAGCAAAACATAACAGATATCAAGCAAAAAAAAAAAAGCAAGAATTCATTGACAGAAAAAGTTGCTAAAGCCAGATAATTTTTAGTAAAATTCCGGTTGTCTCCGAACACGAACACACCGCCACCTGCCGTGGCTGCAGGCCTAGCTTCTTAGCCACCTGGGTCTTGCGATCTGGCTCCAGCTTGTTCTCCGTTTCAAAGCTTTTCTCCAGCAAGTGCACCTAAATCAACCCATCCCACTAACTTAAAAAAGAGTAATTACATACTAAGTGCAACAAAATTAAATCACTTTTCATCATTTGTGCATCAGATTATGGATTTACTACAGTGCCCAGCTAATTTGTCAAATAACATGCAAAAAATTATTTAAAAAGGATTACAGTAGGGTAAAATTTGACTTGCTCAGGAGTGAGATGACGCTTCTTCTTCGGCAATTGTTCGTCATAATATTCTTCATCATACAAATCTTCCGGCGAGCTGAGAGAAGAAGAGAGGGGAATAGCTCGATTTTCAGTTTTTTGAGAGAAGAGAGGGGAAAGAGGAAGAGGTTGGAGGTCATTTTCCGTGTTTTTGGAACAGTGCCGCGTTTTGGGCGTTTTGGCTTGATTTCTGTTGAAAACTCACAAAACGTGGAAAACCACATTTTCTGTTTTGTGTGTAAATTTTTTTGCCATTTTAAAAAACGTGTTTTCAGAAATAGGGAAGAGAACGCGTTTTCACTATTTTTGAAAATTGAAAACAGAAAACGGCTTGAAAGCGGTAAAGAGAACAGGGCCTTACTTTTTCAGCAATCTTAATGAAGTGCAATGGAAGTATAACAAATTAAGCCTTGTTCCCATAGAGTTGGCTCCCTGAATCATTTTTGCCATCGATTGTATCATTATCTTGATTATAAAATATTTCCCTAGTACATTGTCATTTTTCTTTCAAGTTTAATCGACTCTGCAATAAGAATGATTGTTTTGCTCTTACTCTATCAGAAAACCTTTTTGAGTATTTTTCGTGCTTATTGATTTTTCTTGTGACTGTTGCCCGCATATGAGATGGAATTTCGTTCCTTTATTGCTTATATTTGAACATGAGAGTTTATAATTTACATGGCGACTTACTGTTCAATGTACAAGCATTTCATTTCTTACAGTTATTGATTGATAATATGACATACTAGTTCAATGCATTCGAGTTACATGTTGGATGGTAGGTATTGGCCGAGCCATTGCATTGATATTGAGAACGCCTCTATTTTGTTGCTGCAAATGCTGTTGTGTGAGATAATTTAGGAATTATATGGCGCGGTTTGCTCTCCCTCACTCTGGGTTGTGTGTGCAGGTATGTGCAGCTGTACCAGGAGAAGGAGAAGATGGAGCATAGATACTGAAGTCAATTTCTACTCAATTGATCCAAAAACTCCGTATGTTTTTAATCTTTACTAGCCAATAGAAGCTGCTTTTAGCTTTGGTATCTTCCCACTATACTACATTTTACCCCGAATATTTCTCAATTGCCATTGAACTTAAAGTTTTCTGAGTTTGTCGTTAATTTTTTTTACATGTTTCCCAATTACTTGTCTTTACTGAACCATGCAAGGGGGAGAGAACCATTGTTATGGACTGAAATCTGCATGTTATGCACCCCAGCATACATTTAGTAAAAAGTGGCGATTTTGATGCTTGATACACAGGCAAAGGAAGGATCTTTTTTGGTGGATCTCTCGTTCTTGTTTAATTCCCTTCATTTCGGAAGTTGTTCCTATTTCTACAGGTGAAACTCATTGACTCTTTCCCCGTTTTCCATTCTGCTTGCTTTTTTAGCTCGACTTTCAGCACTGCTTTAGTCAACCAAGCCAACCGAAAATTCAATCTTTTAAAGTTGAATTTTTCCTTCATGCTCTTAGCCACTCAGCTATCAAGCCCAATAGTGAGAGTATAAAATTTTAGATTATTTAGAACTGGGACAAGATCTTAAATCTCTCCTTAATCTCATGTATTATATATTCCACCTAGTTAAGAGCTTGTATGTTTCTGCTATTCAGCAGAATTCCAACCGTTAAGAATACTATCCAGCCGCAATTGTGGACTAACTTCTCTCTTAGTGGGGTCATAAGTTTGAAAAAAAGGGTAACAAAATCAATTTTTTTGGGTAAAAAAAAGGTACGAGACAAGCTCTAAATAAAGAAGGTCTTATAAGATAGAGGATCGGGCAATGAGCGGAGTTCTCTTCCCAGCTAGACCTTTGATGGTCAGTGACGTAGGCATTGACAATTTCTTTCTTTTGCTGATGAGGTTATCTTTGACAAGTAAAGTGCAATAAACACGAGGGAGCCTACCTATTGAACCTAAGCCTCTAGGCTATGACTCTCATAAATATTGCTAATTTCATCCTCATGTTAGTGCATTATCTCATTTATCATTCATCGTTTTAAAAATTAATTGACTTGATAACATGGTAAATGAAATTATAAGTGGAATAACATTTTCATCAACTCTATTAACTTTTGAATTGGATAACTCAAAAAATTCGGGAAAAAAAAAGTATAGAAAATGCAATAGAAATATCACCCTGAAAGTTAATAAAACTTTGAAAGGTTTACAACATGTTTGACTAAGCTTAAAATTCAAAATATAGTCTTTATTGGCTAATTTTTTTAATTTTAATCATATTTTAATTTCTACCGAACACGTCCTTAATATCTTTTAAAGCCTCCATTTTCTGAAATTTATTTTTCCTTTAATTCATTTATACACATTTTATGAGATTCACAATTTTTAATTTTTATCAACTTTTATTAATTTTTATACTGAAAAATTGATTTTAGTTAAAAGCAAACCAGGGCTTGTGCTCTTTCACTGTCTACAATTTGCAAAATCCGAAATCTTTACAGTCCCTACAGTAAACGCTTCGCTCGTATTGTTGAAGCAGCACTAAACTTTTGTGGGCCTTACTTGTTCACAATGACAGATATTCGAGCCCTAAAAAGCAGCGAATTGCACTAACCTTTCAAATTTCAAAAAGTGGCGCTGCTTTCATCTTCCTCTCTCCACCCCTTTCTTGCTTTTTAAATTCACTCATTTCTCTTTCCAGCTAAGAATTAAAATCCCCAGTTAAGTTTTCCACAAAGAAATTTACTTTACTCATCAATGTTTGATCTTGTAACCATTTACATAATAATGTCTGTTCGTACTTAAAAGCAGCTCTTTTGTCTCTAGTTGCTTCCCATCAGCATTGAACATCACAATTCTTTGTGCATTCAGGGGCTCTGAAGATACATCTGGTAATCAATGGCAAATGAAAGCGGTGCCAAAAGTTATGAAGATGCTCGATACCAGACACTTTTAGCTAACAAAAGACGATTGGAGGTAGTTTTCTTATCGACCTCGTCTCACAGAATGAAGTCTCAGTTTTTCACAGCCACGCTATTTTAGAAATGTCTTTCAAGAAATTCATTAGTTTAAATGAAATGTAAGAATTTATCATTTTCATTTTAAATCTTCTGAAGGATTTGGGGATCTTGAAGCTATCTAAAAGCCTATCCGATCTCAAAAAAAATGACAAGTCCCAGGTAACATTTTGAGCTTTTACTACCTAGTTCATGTCCAGAAACTATATTTATCCTTCACCTTTCCACATTTATGCTATGTAGCTTCGGCATATTAGACCAAAACCAGCTACTATTTATTCATCGGAGCCAAGACGCTCAACTCGTGCACGCAATCCAGTTACATCATATCGTGATGATGTAAGTCTTGATGTTTCTGAATTTCTTTTGCTACTGAATGAATCCCATTAGACAAGTAAATGAAAATTTCAGAAATATATTCTTGGATTTCTGGCAACAATTTTTAATGTTTAATAATTTTTTTGTACATTGATCAGATCTTTCTGTTGATTCCCTTTCTATCAATGTTTCATTATCCATTTGGCAAATCTGAAAAATGTATAGTTTTCTTGATGAGAAAGAGCTTATTTGTTTCTCTTATTCTCCCCTATTAAGTACAAAATTGTGCTAAATTCCTTAACTTGGAAAAAGCAAGATCTTTCGTTCTTCATATCTATTTTCTTGTTGAAAATTGTCATTGTCACAGGTTCAGGTCGAGCATCTTCCATTGCGTAAGAGAACAAAGTTGAATTCCTCATGGACAACGTAAATGTTATTGATGATTTCAACAATAATATCACAATATATAATTTAAGTTTTGCAGTTACGACTAACAATTTGGACTGGCAGCTATCTAGCACGGCCGGTGGAAGAAGTTAGAACTGCTACATATGAAGAAAAAGCTCGAGCTTTGAAGTTTGCAGAGAAGCGCCAAAGCTATCTAGATTCTGAAAATCCATCTTTCGTTAAATCAATGCTTCGATCTCATGTTTATAGTTGCTTCTGGTTGGTAAGTTACAGCATATTATAGTGCTAGCAAAGTTTAGAACTTTATATTATGGTTACTAATTACTCCTTTTCATACTATGAATAGGGGCTTCCAACTAAATTTTGTGAGAACCATCTTCCCAAAACCACAGAAGATATGGTACTAGAGGATGAAGAAGGCTCAGAATATGAGGCTATTTACATTAGCAAGAGAACTGGGCTTAGTGGTGGATGGAGAGCATTTGCATTGGATCATAAACTTGATGATGGTGATGCTTTAGTATTTGAACTGATTGAACCCACAAGATTTAAGGTTTGTTTATAATTATAATTGTTGATGTGAACGGTATGACTTTGATAGTTCTTAATTATATTGTGGTGCGAGTGGTCATATCCTACAGGTTTACATAGTTAGAGCACACGAATGTACAAATCAAGATGATGAAAACCCAGTTGCAGAAGTTGAGAGTAATGCTGAGGAAACACCCAAGGAGATCAAAGATTGTGGAAAGAAGAACGATTCAGCAAAACCTAAGAACGAAATATTTTCACAGGTTTCTGCCACCAGACGGAGTTTGAGAAGAAAGTGAATCTATGTTAAAAGACTAACATGTAACTTATTGAATTCCGAGAGTGACAACGGTGAAAGACAATAGAACGGCCCTTGTGGGGTTATCAGGAATTTACTGGAAGGGGACAGATGACGAACTTAGTTGTTTTGTTGTAACTTGTTGAGAATGGCTAGAGTTGTCAACTAGGACGGCTTAGGCTTGGCCCTTCCGGAAAAAGTGAGTCTTAGCATCGCCCATGTTTTTTACGAGCAGTCTATTCTGATTTTACCCCTAAGAATGGCTTTTGTGTGGCGCAGAACAAGTCCATAATCATTAGTGCACCATATTTGTCATTATCAGAATCGTTAGCGTTTACACCTCTAATCAAGTGGCTCATATGCAGATCAAAAGGTTCTAGAAAATAACTACGATTTAAACAGAAAGCTATCATGTATTGCATTGATATTATTGAACCACTAAATAGATCATGATACAAACGAAACAAATTGACTACAGAATTGTGTCGACTTACCATTAACATGAAAGGTATAAATGCAAAAATCTGAATCGTATTTGTATTATCACCTTGGTGTAACAGTTGGCATAACTCCACTCACAAGATCACTGCCTGAGATATCTTGCGAAACGTATGGATGTTTTAGTGCAGAAGATGAAGATGGCGGAGTGATATTCTTTTCGGGATCAGTGACTATCGATTCAGATAGTTTAGTGTCCGAATTGGGCATCATAAGCCATATGTTTTCAAGTTCTCTAACCACTTCTGCCATTGAAGGCCGGGAATCTGTCTCATCTTGGCAGCACTTAAGAGCCAGATTTATGAACTTCTCCACACATTCAGAGGGATAAGATCCCATCCCTTCATCGATAAGAGAAAATATCATACCCGAATGATATGCAATGTTGACCTGCATAGACAGACCAAATATTAACTATCAACTGTTTTATAAAGCTTTTGAGAACCTGTGTTTTAAGAACCGGCCTGGCCAGGTTGGCCTGCCAAACAGCCTTTTAGTTGCAATTTTTTTACTGACCTTGAAATGTATCGTGCTACCTTAATATTTGGGTTTTTGTTATCATGTAGATGAAAATAAACTTGTATTTCTTTACCTCTTCCAAGCCAGGTCTTAAAACATTAAAGAGAAACAACAACGAGAAAAGAAAAGAAAAGAACAACGAAATAGTATTATTGACAAATTTACGCAAGTGATGCTTATTTAGTGCTATATAGTTTTAATTACTTTTATAGAAGAGAGGGTAGGTCGGATTGGCTTTGCTTGCTTAACTCCTACTCGTTATTCTATTTAACTATGAGAAAAATGGACGCAATTATACATTACCTCCCGAACAATGTTTTTCCCATGTGAAATAGGGTGCATTCCTGTCAACAGTTCGAGAAAAACAACACCAAGGCTGTAAACATCACTTTTGTCCGTCAACTTGTGCGTTAAAAAGTACTCAGGATCCAGATATCCCTGCAGTGATTGATCATGCATATTTTGAGTGATGAGTGAATTTATTTTGCTTGTCATGAAATTGAAATAGAAAAACAAGAGAGACAATAGTAACTGTATGCTGCATGCATTTTCGAAAAAAAATAATTAAAACTCTCTTGTAAATAACATTACCGGAGTCCCCTTTACAACTGTTGATACACGAGAAGGCACACCTCCTTCAATCTCAGGAATTGGAGCTAACCGTGATAGTCCGAAATCAGCAACCTTTGCGGTAAACTTAGGGTCCAGTAATATGTTGGTTGCCTTGATATCCCGATGAAATATTGGAGGATTTGCTTCTGTATGTAGGTAAAGAATGCCTTTGGCTGAACCCAGTGCAATTCTTACTCTCATAGCAAAACTCAAAGGCAATTTGGACTTCCCTGCAAATCTCGAACATTAAAAGTCTTGTTAAAGCAACAAAATGTTTCTGTTGCTTTTCTACTTTTGTACACGCTAGAACACTTAAATGACTTGTTAAGGAGTTGAGGAACACAAGCTTAAGAACACTTTTGGAATCAAAATATAATTCTAAAATGAAAAGTTGGATTAAATTATAGGCGACAAAAGTTTGTCATTTGCACGTTATACGATTTACATGTTATTTAGTGTGCATGTGGGTACGTATGTTATCTAGTCTGGAGAAGTGGTGAGATTTCAATGTTACTAATCTGCACTCTCATACTTGTTAGACACGAGCACGGACTAAGAGACCATGAAAATTGAAGAAATAAACGCAAAAGGATGATTTGCAAAACGACGCATTACCAGATAGGTGATCTCTCAAGGTACCATTAGACATGAACTCATAGATCAACATCTGCATAATGAAAAGCACAGTAAACATAAGACCTAGGAGAGAGAAACTATTTAAGAAAGTAGTCTTTTGAAATGAAATGTTAATACTTTGTGTTGTGGCCCAATCACATACTTTTCTTACATTAAACCCTTATTTTTATCAGGTTGTTTCTTATAGGGAGCAGAAGAAATCTCCTGATCTTTATTAGCTATTCAACCTTTTATCTCTATTAGTGTCAGCACTGCAGCAGTTTTAAACATTGGTTGGCTAAGCTTAAAAATAAATAATTTACTTATTTCCAACTTGTAACTAATAAAATAAGTTATTTTAAAACCTCATTAGTTATAAGTGAACTTTTTAAGCTTTGGTAAACATGCGCTACCAACTAATCCTGTAATTACACATCCAAAGCTTATAATAGATTCATTTTGAGCTAAGTTATCTATCCAACCTGATATTATATAACACTGGATCTTAAAGAGAGAGCTTAAAAATTATAAAGAGAATGAAGGATGCCAAGAATCTGCTAAAACCTCCAATCCAAACCCAAACATGCCTATTATTAGTAAGCGAATGATCTTATATAAAAATCAAAAATTGAACCACTAAAGTGAACAGTCGAACTCCAATCAACGCTGCAGAGTTTACTTTTGACCAACTGTAGATAAACTAAATTTCTTATTGGAGTACCTGTTCACCTTCTTCATCACAATATCCCATCAATTGCACGAGGTTTCTATGATGTAACCTCGACAATAGTTCTAATTCTGTGAGAAACTCCTTTTCACCCTGTAATGATCCCTCCTCAGCCCGCTTTATGGCCACAACTTTTCCATCAGCAAGAATACCTTTGTAAACTTTTCCATAACCTCCTTGCCCGACAACACTTGAGTTTGCAAAATTATTTGTTGCTTGTGCCATTTCACCATAAGTGAAATCTTTCACACCATCGATTCTTATGGAAATCTTTGATGCTGCGTACAATGTAATTAGATATTCAATTAGTTGAATAAAGACTCTCCCTCTTTGGGTCATCAAACATGTATAAATAAATGTGTGTATGTGTGTGCATGCATGTGTGTGTGTATAATTCTGTGTTGTGTGTACACGTGTATATATCTAAGTTTTTCTGCTGATTAAGATTAAGAAACGTAAAATAGGAAAGGGAAAATAAAATTCTTCCATGTAATGTGGTAGTGAAGAATTTGACACCAGAATGCTTAACCATATAGTATACAACATATTGAGTCTAATGGAAAAAAATGAATTCTCGAAATGAGTAATAAGACTAATTTCCTCTTACTCTATACGAGTTTTGAAACAAATGCACTCTGCAAGATTTTAGAACACTCCCATACTGAAAAACTGGCAAATTCATTACTGCACATGTTTGCAGGATGTATATTACTTTAAAAATTTCGACATCACAGCATCAAGAATTAATTTCTTGGGGTCTTCTTTTACGTTTATTTTACTTCATTTAATGCAATCCTCTGCAGTGTACCTTCGTTTTTAGAGCTAAATGTCATACCATGTTTCTTGATTACACCAGTAAATACGTGTAAAATTCAATAAAGTAGTCCTTTAGTGTCGTTAAAACATAAACAACACTAAAAACGATTTTTAACTCCAAAGGAAAGGTAAATCTTAAGGAAAATGGAGAGCATATTTAAAAAACTGTCAATGTTTAGGTTTGTTGAAAATTTTATCGTCCGCAATCAGCCAGTGAGGAACAATACATGCTGCCCATCTGACTTACAAACCTATACAGCATTGAGATAGTAAAAAATCATTGATTGTGTAAGGGCAATCACTTCAATATCAAATTCAGTAATTTGAACTAACAAGTGCATTCTTTGTAAGCTGATGCCACAATAATGCTTCAGAAGTTTTTATATTGCACAATGCATCTTTTCTGCAGAATCAACGACATGAATACAAAGTGCAAAGAGTCTGGTAACAAGATTTTCAAAGTAGACTCTAGAAGTCATGACAAAATGGTGAAGACATATATGTACCTACTAATGCCTCCAAATTCAGGAAGATACTCACATGGACGTCTTCTTGAAGTTCTATGATGTTTCTTCAAGTGCATTTTCAAGATGAGAAGTGCCACAAAGGCAGATAGGGTAACTGATCCAGCTATTGTCCCTAGTATGATCCCAGCTAGTGCTCCCTTGCTTATACCAGATGAAGATGAGGATGATTCTGCAACAAAGCCAAGAGTTAAGAGCATCTTGAAAGTGAGTTTATGCAAAAGTAAATTTGACTTCTTTTACTATATAGAACGTTAGCGTACAGATAGATTATTGCCAAATGAACTTAATTTGTGTTTTGATGAAAAAATTCCCCTAGTTTAGGATCCATATCAACGACAAGCAGCCAAATAGTATACAAGATCTTCCCACATGTACAAAATAATACAGGTGTGTGCGCATATATGTACGTATACAGGAACACAATAATAAAACAAAGGAAAAACAAAAAAGTATAATAATCGTGCTTCAACAAATATGTAATAGGTAGACGAGTCAAATAACCATGCTTTGAACCCAAAAGTGACGGTATATAAATATTTAAACAAATTACAGGTCAAAGCTTGACCCGTTCAAAATTTGAAAACACAATTTGATTAGTGTCTGATTTTCAACCTGTTACACAGTGGCAGGAAAATCCTTACACAGTGTAAGCAACAGGCAAAAATGTTTTACTTCTAAACGAACAGAAAATGCCACAAGTTCTCCAAATTCACTGTGATGTTTTCTTTCTCTGGCCCATGGGCCATGAGCATGAACAAAGAGAACCATTTTTTCTATGCCACAAAGTTAGCAGAATACATTATTCCCTTAAAATCTCTTTTAAATTATCTATGATAGAAGTCCAAACTTTAGAAGATATAAGCCATTTCTTCCAACGAAGATAAAGCAAATACCACGATTACAGTACTGCCTTTCGTTCATATAATTCAAGCGTAAACATGCAAACGAGAAAGGAGACGGACCATCTCTGTAAGGATCCAGAAGTGTGAAGTTGAGAAGCTCAAAAGGTCCGAACACTTGGCTCTCACGAATATTCCATCCACTAAACAACCTACGAATTCGTCTGACCTCGCTTTCATTAAATAAAAAAGTGCTGTTGTTAACATACGCTGGAAAAATCTTCAGGTACATTCTCAGTCGAGGTCCCTTTTGCCATTCAGCTGAATCAATGTAGAGCTGATAAATATTCAATTCCATACCAGTACTCAAGTACTCCTCAAATCTATCAATATATGGGCGAAAATCTGAAAACCCGGGACTCTTCAAGCGATATCCTACCAGCAGAGGTGCAGCACAAAAGCAAGGTGAATTGGGAGATGGTGGGGCTAACTCATAAGGAGGTGGGCATGACAGTAAACACGCACTGACATCTGTTTTATTCAAGATATTGCCGAAACCTTCATCTTGGGATCCACAGAACTGACCAAGGTTTCCTCTTAAGCATATTGGATTTCCTCGGAGGCTGCAATTGTCATATAAATAACAAAGGCCGAATGAGAAAATTACATCACCAAATATCACTTGCTGAGACAACCCTTAATTATCTCTATTATACAACCAGAATTTTTATTTTTATCTGGAAATTTGTTTATTTTAGAACAGGGAAATGTCACTGCAGATGAAAGTGATGGGAAGGGACAAACCTAACGGTGACATTCGGAGGGAGGGGAAGACTGCCATCTATATTTGAAAAGTTATTGTTCTGAAAATCCCTGCAATATAAAAAGTGTAACATCATAAGTTTATAGATAAATAAGAAAATTTTCAGTCTGTTCCTCTTAGGCCATAAAGTTTCCAGTCTAATAAAAATATTGAAACTGGTATTCAATTTGTTTCGGCATGATCCCATGTCAGATAATAAACTCAAAAACTTGTGTGGTGGGGGGAGAGGGTAAATTCTTTTCCCCAGGTGGAGAGACGGGGGAGAGAGAGGAATTTCTTTCCCATATTAATCTTACAACAACAGTCTCTTGGATTCATTAAGTGGCCTATTTTGCCAAATGGTGGATGGGACAGAACCACTCAGTGAATTGTTTGCCAATGACCTGCACTTGCAGAATAAAATATCTTTAATTCAACAAATATATTGTGAGGTAAGAAACAAGAGAGCTAATGTTGGGTGCTAAGTGGACAAGTGAATGCCAACTGGGAAATAAGAGAACTTAAATTTAAGACAATCATTTTCAGGACATAAAATTGAAGAAAGCTCACAATTTCTGCAGATAGGGAAGCCTAGAAAAGCTGTCAGGGATAGTCCCATTTAGATTGTTGGAGGACAGATCACTGCATAATTAGAATTCAACGCGTTCAATTCCAAAATGTGGAAACCTAATCCCTTTTTAAGTAAAATTAGACAAGTAGTTTTGACGTAATACAAAAGAATTAGCAAAACAATCAGAAATTGAGTGCTTACATAGTAGTGGTATTCTCAGAAAGTTCGCCTGCTGGTATTGATCCATTAAGCTGGTTTAGGCTCAAATCTCTGAATTGAGAGCATGATCAATTTTAGAACCCCAATTAACAAGTATACTAACTCGAAACTCAATGACCAAAAAATTGTCAAGAAATTAAATATATACGTCTTCACCATTCATATTCAGCACAACTAAGTACGTGCCCCTTAAACAGGGAAATCCCACAGTTCAAATAAAAATCCGGCACTTGACACCATAAAGACTTGTCCGTAGTGATTAGTAATCAACATATTAAAACCTTGCGCATAATGACTTACATATATGCAATAGAAGTCATATTGCTCCAGTTAGGAATTGGTCCTTGTAAACTGCAGTTTCTTAGACTCCTGAAACAGCCAACATAATAACAAACTATCACCAACCCTAGCTGAATAACTTGTATTACATGTACCTAGTTCCCATGAATGGGTCCGTCTTTGATTGAAACTACAGAGTTTCCGCAAAAAGATAAACAGTTTCCAAGTCGAGTAGATATACACATTTTAGAGATAAAAGTTCCACGACTTTGGGATATTTATCATGGTGGAATAGCCACCATAAACCATATATTTAGAGCAGAAATGATGATTTTATGCACTTACATTTTCAACAGACGAGACATGTTGCTATACGAAAAAGGTATTTCACTCCCGCCGAATTTGTTATTATCTAGTTGACTGAAACACAAAGAAATGGAACCAGAAGCAGATATAAAGTAAGAAAAAGTAATACATACATTTCATGTGCACTGAATTTTACCAATCAATCCTCAAAGTAATATAGATACTGAAAAACAAAGCTAAAATAACGTGAACAACTTAGTTGCATGTGTGGTGACTTTTACCAGTCAATCCTCAAAGTAATATAGATGATGTTCTTAAAAAATAAAATAAAATTAAGACAAACAAAAACAAATAGCATATTGACGAAGAATATATATTAGTTAGAAAAAAAAATATTGGAAGACCCAATCTTAGAAAGTTAGAATGGAGAAAGGAAAATAAGGAACTGTGGCACAGAACAAAGACAGCAATGAAAGACATTCAAGAAGAGCAGGTGAAGCAGATTTGAAAAGGCTTCCAAACTTTTTGTAAAGGTAAAGATGAGTGCATATACGTACTTCAGAGCTATTTCAGGATAAGCCTGCTGCCATTGTTCCATTGTTGAGACAGACAAAATTTGAACATTTTGGTCTTGCATCAAGCATTTAGTGCATGCATGTGTTTGTTTGAGAAATTGATTATAAGTAATATAATGGTCTCCTACTATGCATTGAATATGTGCGTGCGCATTTTGTTATATGAGAACTCGTTATAACTAAATTTGTAGCTTTATACAAACAAGAGACTGATAAATCAAATACGATTTCATATATTCCATGCATGTATAGTTATATCAAAATCTGTAACTGGAAGAATAGGTGAGTATTACATTGGTCTCCCGATCAGTTCGCAAAGAGATTAAGAATATTCAGTTTTTGGTAAGGAAAAGGCCAACTGGAGAAAAGATGTAGAGTTATTCATGGTAAATCTACAGAACTAAATGATAGGAGAACACAAAATTTCACTCGACAACATGCCCCCAACTTGCCCTTGTACTCTCCCTTTAAGTTGCTCGGCACAAGAAAACAATATTTCCTATTGTTAAAATTTGAGTGTGATCAGAATTCCTTGTTGAAGTAATTGAAGAATTCTAAATGAAGTGCACGTCATGAAGAATTCTAATTTAGAATATTATTGGAGTCTTATGTCACGTTGAAGTTCTATGTTGGAATCTCATTAGGAATTGAAATTTGTTTTGGACTCAATTTTATGGTATCCTACTTCATCAACAACTCTAATAGGTGGGTTTGGACATCTCCTACTTATTTCCTATAAATACTTTGCTCTTCTATACAATTTTATAGTGTGAGACAATAAATTACTAGAATTATAGGACTTATTGTAATTTTCTCTCTTCTCCATTATTCTTAAGTCAATAAAATCTCTTAATGCATTTGTCATATTCTTGTCACTGCAAGATTACCGATAGGTGAAGGATTGTGGTTAGAGAAACTTTTAAAAGAACTACTGCAAGATCACCGGTCAAACTCTATTGTTATAACAATGTTGCCATCACCATTTCTCTCAATCCCATTCAATATGACCGAACTAAGCACGTGGAAGTAGATAGACATTTCATCAAAGAACATGTGGAAGACGGAATTATTTGTATGACCTATGTTCCTGTAAAAGAACAAATTGCGGACATCTTCACCAAAAGATTACCAAGGCACAATTTTGATAATCTCATCAACAAGTTGACTATGATCAACATCTACGATCTAATTTGATGGGGAGTATAAAAATTCTAGAGATTAATCATGATTGATCATGACCGATATGTCATTAATCATGATTGATATATAATTGATTAAATATCTCCATAACTTAGGTTGATTGTTAGGCTAATTTTTTGTATCCTAAATTAGAAGATTTTTTTATTTTTATTGTTGTACTATAAATATGGTATAATAAGTGCATACAATTCAATCAAGAAATTCAGAAAATTCTTATTTCATTCTTCAAACAATCCCCATAATCAGTCAAAAGCAAATACCAACTTCCCCCAGAATGGTGAATCTAGCTTGGGATGACTGCAGTAGGCATACTATTGGCAATAGATATAACTTCAAATTTCGAGGTTTTTATTTATTTTAGAATGATTTATATGAGAATGTTATTTTTCCAAATCATAGTCTGTCTGATTTCATAATGACTGAATTTGTTTCAATTAGATTCATATGTTCAATATTTATAATTTGCAAATGGATCGTAAAAAGTAGATAAATTTTATACCATAAATAAACTGGAATTAAAAGATGATAATGAATGCAAAAATTGCACAAGATAAGCAACTGCCTAGACAACTAGGCAGACAAAGGTCATGGCTCCAACACCGGTTCTCACCAGTCATGTTACGGCTTCATTTATTCATGCTCATATGCAAGTGACACAGTTCCATTCTGATAGGCAGAGAAGCCATTAGCCATGTGTCTCTTCAACTCAACAAGAAAAAGTTCGCCAGAGTTTACTTTATCACTATCCCAAGCATATCCCACCATCAACGCAATATTTTTATAGTTCTAGAATGCATGTTCTCAAGAAATTATTATCTATTACAACCTTAAGTTCCAGTTAGCGTGTCATGGTAGGCTACACTAAATGGTCACTTGTTCAATTGGTAGGACATGCATAAGCTTGATATCCATAACTTGGCAAACTTTAGCTTCATCAACTTCTATGGAAAATAGAATAACTTTTACAAGAAATAAGTAACTTTATTATGATTCCTGTGAAGTCTTCAGAGAGTACTATACAACTTATGAATCTTCAAGATTTCAATCATAAGAAAGACCAGAATAACAGTGAAACTTCATTCTCACGCACAGTACTGCACTAATGTGCAACTTATTCTTCATGAAACTTTTGGCTTACTAGTCTTCAACAATATTACGTGCAAAACTCCACCATCCTCTTGCACACATTATAGCCCCCTGGTTTATGTTTCAGAAAGAAACAGAAAATATAACTCATTTTTGTTCCTCTTAAAAATTAGTTTACAGGTTCATTTACGATTCAAAGTTTTTCATTTGCTAAGAAAGCAATGCTGCTTTTAGTTCTAAACTAATAGGATTGATCAATGACAGATAAATATTATATTATAAACCAAGAAAGCAAAAAAAAATGTTTAAACTAAAACATGCTGGCTGTTACAGAAAAATCCCAGCATGAATAACAAAAGTAAATGTATCTAATGAAGCAAGAATGCATACAGTATTAGTAAATTCGGCATTTCAGAAAGTTCTGGTGGAAGATATCCCGATAAGTTGTTATTGTCAAGTAACCTGCACGGTTTTAGTTCATCAACTAAAATCAGACGTTCAAGAAGCAGTGGAAGGCTTAAAAGATTAAGATCTTCAACTCACAGGTGAACAAGATTTGGAAGTCTGGCCAACTCTGGTGGTATTTGCCCACTAAGTGAATTATTATTCATGTGGCTGCACAAGTAATAAGAATAAAAAGAAAATGTATTGATAAATGTCTAAGAGGATATCTCTGAAACAGGTAGAATAATCTTGCTCAGAAATGAAGAATAATCTTTACAAGTGTCTTGCATTGGTCAAGTCAGCAAATGATGTGGGTATAGATCCAGATATTTGGTTCTCGTCAATTTGTATCCTGTTCAAGTTAGGAAGAAAACCAATCTCATCGGGCAAGGAACCTGTCAGTTGATTTCCACTAAGAAGCCTGGAACCAGAGAAAGGAAACCACAAGTAAAAACATAATGGTTTAAATCATGGTAAGCCACTGTCGAGAATTAGAAGTTAATATAACGGATTATGTAGCAGGACTTATAAGGTTTACTCACTTCAAATGAGCATTCACTCAAAAATTAAGCAAAGCAGAACAAGTCATATATTTGAAAATGGAATAGTGAAAAGGCAAATTGAGCAAAGAGCTGCTTCAACTTACAACAATTCTAATGTTTTAATGCTTCCTATCTCCTTGGGTATACTCCCAGTAATGTTGTTCCACATAAAGTCCCTTCAAAAACAATAGAAAATAACTAAATAAAAAGGAAAGAAAGGTGACAGAGGTAGAGCGACTTACAAGGTAAATTATGGGAAAAAAATATAAGCACAAATAGAAAAAGAAGGGTGAATTGTTATCTAACTTACAGTATCTTCAAATACGATAACTGACCAAGTTGTGGAGATAAACTTCCTGATATATTCATATTTAGTAGTAACCTGTTGGCGAAAACAAAAAACGAAAACAGTATTGTTCAGTCACCAGTCATACAGTTTAGCAAATTCATAATTTGTAATAAAGTCTAGCATATCCACAATCTGTTACTATTAAGCATCTTCCCTGGAATCTCATACAGTTAAATTTGAAGGTTTCTTTATATGTACGGTTCCCATTTAACAGAAATCCAAATAATTTTTTTCCCAAACATTAAGACGATAGCAAGGTTTTTAATATATATGTAACTATCAATATTCCACAACAATACTAGATTAATGAAATTTATCCCGCACAGTATACAAGAGCTATATGTCAGGCATGCCGTTATCACTTTGTCAGCTATGGTCCTTTCCATGGCAGTATGCAACTAAAAATGTGACAACATAAAGCTCTACATTGTTTGACATGCCCAGCAGTCACCACTAAACTCAATGTGGTAGACATGGGAAAATGTGGTCAATCAATAATTTTTCCTCCCATCAGATTTATCACTTGTTCATCTTGGATCCCATGCCTCAACATTACTACTAAGAGTCAATGGTCTTGATTTCTCCACACCGTATTGCTGAGCAGGAACATTTATACATCCCTCATGTTGATCTCATGAATACGACCCAAAAAGTCGTACTAAAGTGTGTCCCTAAAGATAGTCTTTTACTTTTGAAGATGAATTTTGATGCCAAGTGATGCAGAATCAGATATGTATTGAAATAGGCAGATATAAACTAAAATAATTTGGAAGCAATAAAAGTCCAGTGTACATTTAATAGATTTTATGTTACAAACTACGATACAGGAAAAAAGGGAAGGACTATAATCGTACAATTCTCTGACATGAAGATAATTATCATTCTTTGTTGTGTTATAGCATAAAACCCCTGTCCAGTTTGAAGTACATGGATCCCCCTTGTTCCAGTTGCGAAGATTCCGATATGGGTCTGTCAAACTTCTCTTGATGATTCGCAATGCATTCACTGCAGAAAATATTAAAGATAGGTTGTGATCTTATATCAAAACACATCACAAAACTTATGTTTTGACATAGTTAATGTTTGGGCGTCAAGAAAAGGGCCCATTTGAATGATGTATATAGGGTATCTCATTATTGAAGTCTTAAATTCCGTGTTTGCTTACCTAGCTTAGTAAAAATCTTAATCAGATATTCAATTACATTAGGTTTTAAAAACCCCTTTATGGTAAGCATCTCAAATGCAGGTAGAGGAGGGTCATTGGTTAATGCAGATAAGGATTACATATTGATAGTAAATAATCTATGAATGAGAACTTGAAATCCTTCATTGTCGTGCTCCAAAGAATTAGGTTGTACCAGAAATAAAGTAAATTGGGATTCTTATCAACAATCTTACAGTACTAACAAACACGGACATTATGCATTTTTTTCAAAACTCATTTTCAACCACACATTCTTCTTTAAAATGATATTACACGTAAATCAAAAAGTTTTCCTTACTTTTTAACCACGCAATCTCCAACAAAACACTATTCAAAAATACCTTTTTTGCCCAAAAATGGAGCTCAAACAAGGACATATAAAAATTACTAGTAACTGATAGCTGCATACTTCAATGCCGGCATTGTCATCCAATTGAGGCCTGAATTAAACACTAACTTATTCTACGTTCATTTTAGACGTAACTAGTGGTAAAATAGTTGCACACTTTATTTTCTTATTAATGCTTGGAATATGAATAGTTCTTGATCAAAGCAATCTCGGTTATATCGAAGTTATCGGAGAAACAACGTGCCAATTCGCAATCTAACTTGAATCGTATAACAATTTTATTTGTTAGACATTCCCCAGAGCAACAGCATTGTCTTGTTATTGATGCAAGTAAATAGTGATATTTTGAGAGGCTAGTGAACATTATGTTGTCATATTTAAAATCAAAGAATGCTTGAATGCTTGCCTATTAATAGGTATTATTAAGGATTAAAGCGAAAATCAATACAAAATGACCAGACTAAAGCAACCTAACTTAAACTTTTGTAAAATATTGGAAAATTCTCAAATCAATAATTTAATTTATCAATGATGTTCAAAACAATAAGAAGCCTTGATTTACATATGATTTACCGTTTAGCCCTCAAAAGCTAAATAACAAAGAAAAAAATTAAAACATTACTTGTTCTGTTAAAAATCTGATTAAGTAAACGTCCTAGAATTAAAAGAAGTAATGAACTGGACAATCACGATCTTCATCGTATTTCCACACAATTCAGGGCCTTTTTGCCCGGCTCAGGGAGGCAAATAATAGCACATAATACAAAATATGATCCAAATAGTGAACATAATTGCAAATTACAAAAATCTGAAATAAGCATGTTAAAGTAACTCAAAAGTAGTGAAGAACAAAATAGTCACCTTCCTCGCGATGCGTTTGTTGGCTATCTGCACCTATAAGCATCAAACACCAGCATAAACACAAAATTAAACTTGCTCCACTTTTAGCAGAAGTTGGCTGGAACCTCACAAGAACGCCCATTTTCCCAATATTGTCCAATATCTTAACACTTGTCTCCCACCTTATAGATCAACATAAAATGAAATCTACACTCAACAAATGTTTAAATATAATCAACATAGCTAATATTTGAAAATGAAAATTCAAAAAGTCAATTTTCAACTAAACCAGAAAACCCCTCTAAAAAGTTGAAAGTTTAAACAAAGAAAAGACAAATAAAGAATATTGAAGCCAAAAGCATAAGTTACAAAACCCAATATTTAAAAAAAAAAAAACCAAATACGACAAAGTATAAAGCATTCTTAACAACAACGCCAAGAAAGTAGAATAATATGGAAATAAATTTGTATTGAATGCTTACAGGTGCTGCAGATATTTTGCAGTTTGAAAATGGGCTTTGAATTTAGATAAAACCCGGAGGTTTAGAAAGAATGATCACCATTGGAGGGTGGTTAAGATTTGTAGATAAATGAATTTTGATGGTGAGGATGATGAGCAAAGCAGCTACCTTTTTCAAATAGTGAATTAAATACACGAACTCTAGCAAATAGTGGGCTGGAGCCCTTTTACTTTATTTATTTTAATGGAACTGTTATCTTGACTTTTGTTGCAGCTGTAGTTGAACTGCCATTATATATATAAACTGAATTATAAGACGACGATAGTGAAATATGAAAGGAAGGAGGTGGAATCTTCTTAGTTCACACTCTCACCGTTCTTGTTCAGGACAAATTCTTGAAGGTTTCAAACATGTTAGGCGGTGTTAGCGTTGACAAGAAATCCACTAGGAATCTTTTTTGGATAATCCTCCTTGGAAGGCATTGACCGGAATCGTTGACAACGTTGGTGTTGCCGGAATTCGAACTGTTGATTTAGCCCTACATACATTTTGAAGAAGAATTTGATCTGGAATAGTAATTGATAGAAAAATGTGTGGTTAAAAAGTAAAAAGTATTTTTGAATTTATGTGTAATACTATTTTATTGATAAAATGTGTTGTTAAAATGAAGAAAAAAAAATGAGAATGAGAAAAAAATGGATATCAAACAAGGGCTTAAAAAATAATGTTTGAAATTGATGAATGAAATGTTAACAAGTGTAAATACGAAATTGTCAAATTAGATTGTACGTGTAACATGATTCTTAACAGTGGTGAGTGACAGGTGTGTCGGCACCTCTATGGGTTTTTTTTTTAAATATTCAATCATGTATTGACACGTGTCTCTCCTGTCATTGAGTATGTTATTGAATATGTCCCTATAAATTACTAAGTTGTTGCTTATCATTAAGTTGAAGACCCCTCATGCAATTTTCTCATTTTAAAATGGTCACTTATGGATTTTTTGACAAACAATTTGAAAAAAGTTTTAACATATTCAGATAAAAATTGATGAAATATGTATTTAAAAACTTAATAAAATTTATGAAATTGTAATTAAAATTGATTTTTCATCAGCAAAAGTTTTAAAAGTTTACTAACCATTACAGATCTCGTGTTTAACGTCGTCAACAATTCTTTCCAAAATATTGGTGCGTGACAGGTAGTAAGGTCTTAAATTAAATTATATTGAAGTTTTCTTCTGATTCGAAAATTATTGGATAAATTAAATTTAAATTTATTTTTCATTGAAGCGTGTGTTTTCGGCTAATTGAACTGGACCACGGTCTAAACACGTTTTATGACGTTAACATGAGCAACATGATAACTAGAAAGATTCAAAGGCAGAAAGACATAATTCAATCATTTAATATGTAATAAACGTCCATATTTTCGGGTGGTGACATAATTAAGCATTGATCGAGGCTTCTGCGGTCGATGTATGATGTTTCGGCCAATGAATTGTGAACTTGCATTTGACGATAAGAAAAGTCGAAGTCTTTATATAATAAAACAAACCAATGAAACAAAAAACGACGTGTGCATAGAAAGTTTCAACGAGAAGCTCTTGTTAAATCAAACATATTTCGATCACAATTTTTAATTAAATACAACGTGGATTATTATCTCATAAATTTTAAGTATCTTCTATATATAAAAAGTGCCTATGAAATAGAAATTCTTATTTTAACGGAAAATATAAATGAATGGGAAATGCAAAAGACCTTGTACTAATACATTATAGTCACTAGGAAAGAATTCAACTAAAAAAACAAAATGGACGTGAAGATTATCAATTTAAAAATGTTAATAATTTATTTGATAATGTACATTGAACTTAATAAAGAAAAAATATTTATTTATTTAGTTTTGTATGGTATTGTAATGTTATCTATAATTTTATTATGTACAAAAGATTTGTTATTAAGTCCAAAATTTGATATAATATAATAGTACGAAACACAAACTTATACATTTTTTTGTCTTTACACTAACATTCATTCTAAAAATTGATTATGATTTAATGCAAAAAGCAAAATTTTGGATATAAGCGAAAATAAATGTGATTGAGTTTGCCCAAATATTTTATTACATGTTATCCCTTGACTGTAATAAAAGAATTGGNTTGCCCAAATATTTTATTACATGTTATCCCTTGACTGTAATAAAAGAATTGGATCAATTGTTTGTATACCCATGTTCGTTTGCCCCTGATTATGGATTCCCTCAAGTGAATTTGTAGATTGAAGTAGGAGAGATCCATCAATTTTGGTCTAAATAGCGACAGGTTTCACACCATTAGCAAATTCCAATTCAGAAATTGGAGCTATTTGGGGGATAATTGGTGCAATTGAATTCATACCCAGAGTCGTTTGGGCATGTTGTTGGATCGATTGATGCCAATTTGTAGGTTCAATGAAGTTAGCGGCTGGAATTGAAGTAAACGGATTTAACAAAAATGGAGGCACTACTGTCGGAGGTTCATGGCTAGTGTAGATTGATTGGATACTGTTTTGGTTGAGGTGAAGCCATATTTGAGGTAGTCTGGTTGAGAGCTTCCTGACTGTGGTGTTGTGCGATCGTGGGTGTCGCCGGAGGTTGGGTTTCCGGCCAAGATAGCGTGCGCACTCGGGCTGTTTTGGCTTTATTTTGTGGCTGATTCTGGTGGGTTTATGACCTATGGTGCGGTGGAAGATGTTGAGGGGAGTGGGGTGATGCCATCTATGGTGCTATCCAGCGGTCTAGGCTATGGTGGAATCCTGCGAGGTTTGAGAGAGATTGTCCACCTCAATTCATTTTGCTTACTTGGCGAAGAAATTGTACACACGTGTGCCATGTCATTTACCCTGTTTGACACGTTATCAAAAACTGTTTGATTTTGAGGCTATTGATGGATGGAGTCAAAATTTACAAAGTTTAGTGATTAGTTAGGGTAGTTTTGAAGTTCAGCGACCTGGTGAGAACTTTTGGACAAGTTCGGTGACTATTGGGGTATTAACTATTAACCCGTTGAATGGTCCTGTATATGGGCAACAACACTATTGATCCATTTAGCCCTCGGCTGGTAGGTGAAAAGAACTGTATTTGCCCTATTATAAAAAAATATTTCACGAAATACTACGTCATGATATATACATACATATATATATATATACATACATATATATATAATACCGTGCAATATGTGAATAGTAATTAACCGCCTGATTGAAGGAGATTCTCAAAATCAAATTTTTGACCCTTGTGGTCAACTGGTGCCCACATATGAGAGATTTGGTCAGGAAAAGTGGTTGAAAATTGTTGGAAATGGTGGCCAACTGTAGGAAAATGGCTGTCCAATGTTAGGAATTTTACTATTAGACATTTCCAGTCATGATCTAAATATACTGCCTTCCAAATTTACACAAATTTCTCTCCGCTGTCATCTATGGAAGATGTATTAGCGCTTTCTTATATACTGTATATGTTTTAAAAATAAAAATATATACGTCCAAAATTTATATAATTAAAATTGGGTACATAAATTCGTTTTTGTTATAAAAGTATTTCCAGATTTGTTATGTATTTAAGTAATTGATGTTCCCCTAAAAAATTTACACCATGCTAATAATTTTTCATTTCTCGAGCAACGTTACTAAAAGTTTTAACATTTTTCATTGATTGATGTAAAATTTCTTGGACAGTTTGGTGTGAATTTATCCCAAATTTAAACTTTATTGCTAATACGTCACTGCAGTTTGGACATTTCTTTTTTGGGTTCGATATCCTCCACCAACTTAGATGAAGCGCCTGTGTGTTGGGTCTTGGCAGAACCCAATGACAACAGACGTTTCGGAGCATACACTACATGTGTAACTTTCACTATTTGCTATACTTGCTATACTCATATTTTTTTATTGTTCTTTCTTGAACACACACTTGATTGGCTCTTTCGAGATGCCATAATTGGAGTTCATATTGAACTTGAAAATGGTACTACAACCGAATTTTCTTGATTTCAGTGGCGGATAGTGCTTATTGTACCTCGGAATAGGGTTTATATGGACAACTAAGCCCTTATCGCGCCAAAAAGAAAGACCTTGAAATGTATTTTTCGAATCAAAACATGGGCTAAAGATTATACTAAATCTGTGATCGAATAATGTTTTGAAATGATTTTGAGATTTCGATCAATCAGGGTTCATGAAGGATCAATATTCAAAAAACATGTAAAACTCAAAATTGGGGATGGTGAATCGTGGAAAAACATAGGCGTATGGATACGGCGTGTTTGGTGGATTATAATTCAATTGCACCATAAGGGTAGCACATGTTTGGTGAAGTAAATCAAACACCATGTTTAAATAGTAGGAGACGAGTAATATTTCACATTTCATTTTTACCACCTTAAAATAGTAATTATTGAAGATGTGACATTCACCAGGCCCATTATAGAGATTTGAATTGAATTACGTGGTCAACAAAGCCGGGGCCATTTGAATAGCATTAATAAACTTGGGCTCATCATAATCTGGCCCATCCATCTCGGTTGAGGGCACAAAAAGAAATTTTATGTGGATGCAATTGCAAAATGTGCTGGCGAGTTCAAATTTTTAATTGGCACAGTACTCTGGTTTGAATAAAATATAACAAATTTGACGTTGAAGAAACTTAGCCACTGCTTGGTTCCCCTAAAAATCAACTAATCATCAAAATCTAATACTTTGTAACACACATTTAAAATAAAATATTCGTGCCCAAAGAATTTATCATTTGCTGATGTTGATAGACCATATTACTATCAACCTTCATTCACCAAATGTATCATCACCTTGCCTTTTTTAAAGACACTTTTACTTTAATCACGGGTACGTTATATCGTTGTCTACTTTTAATGTCTCCTTTAAAAAAAAAACATTGTAATTCAACAAAAACGGCAAAATAGTATTTGGTGAAAAAAAAAGACACCATGAATTGATGGGACAACTACTTCATTGATTCTCTTAAATTATCTTTGAAAAAAAAAATTTAATTGCAAGGGGGTTCCTCCTGTCTATTACAAGAACCGATTTCTCGTTTCTTCAAAAAATTTCGTTTAGTGCAGGAGTTTAATTTATATTGAAATAAAATTAAGTGTTTATTTGAGAGTGCTGAAATTATAATTTAAGAGTTCCAGAAAATTTGGTCAATTATAATTCAAACTTTGTCACACGTGCGCCAAGACTCTAAATTTATTTGTAACTATACAATATAAAATTTGTAATGAAATTCATTGTTACCAAAACTCCATGACTCAAGATTAACTTAATATATAACTTGGATGAAGCTCAAATATTTTGACAAAAAGAATCTTGATAGTTTATAAAGCCATATTGCTATAACTAATGTCAATATTCAATTAAATAATCTTCTCCGAACTCTGTGTTTATCAAGATTTTTATGATTTTCAAGTAAAATTGAACTTATAACGAAGGTTCGAGAATGGACTCGACTCACTTCAAACCCGGTTAAACAACCTATTAGGACCATTACATCTTGGCAACGACAACAAAATGAAAAATATTTTTCGATGAATAAAGGGCAAAGTTATAAAACTATCAAAGAATATTAACAAAAAAAAAAGAAAGAAAGAAATACATAATCTAATTGGTTAGATATCTGACGCTTTCGCGGGAGTGGGTGAAATGAAGTTTAAAATTCCAAGTGCAGAGTTCTCATTGGGTAGAGTCAATGGTGGCCGGCAGTGTTGGATAATCTTCCATCCAAGTTATGAAAGTGGGCCCACTTCAACATGCAAATGACGTGGAATTATTGGAACCAATATATTTGAATTTTGCTACTCTTGCAGCCTTACTTCACATTCCGGTTCACAGCTTTCCAAATTTGAAGACGTGGCAGTGCATAGTATTAAAAATATCCAAAACTTTTTCCCCAAGCCGCCTCCACCTTTTCCCTTTAATCACCCCACCCCAGTTATTACTTATTACCCACCCCCTTTATCATGTAAATAATGTTTTTTTTTAGTTTTTATCTCAATTTTTGAAATTATT